TATCTCCACTGCATCCTCTTCATCGTCCTTGATTGTTTACTCTGAAGTCACGCTTGATCTCGAGAGATTTTGTGAGATTTCCGTCTCGGGGGGGAAATCGGTTTGTGTGTGGTTTGCGTGATTTTGCCGTGTGGCTGCGCACCACACACTGTACGACCACAGTGGTTAGACCCTTGATTTTTTTATCTCTGTGTGTGGGGTCTCTCAGGTTAGGAAAATCCGCCAACAATTTTAAAATTGTCTCATGTGAACCAGGCTTTAGGAACCCAATGTGCTGAACAAGGACACTGTAACAAAACATAGTCCATATCACTCACACAGACACTTTTTTCTGGATCTCACTTTTATTTGCCTCTTTCTCTCTCGACTGGTGCCAAATCCTTTGCTCTGCCCCCAACCCCAACCCCCTCCTGAGGTGTGACTGTCTCCGTTTGGCCCCGGTCCCTAGCCATCCATCGCTTCTCTGTGGCCTCGTCCATCAGCAATCTGCTTCAGTGGTGCCAGACTTTTCACTTAAACCTCTGAGAACCCACAATAAGCTGGTTACACTACATGGCAGAATCAACCTGCAGTGTTCTCCAGGGAAATTACACCTCCGGCAAATCATTAAAACCACAAGCTAAACATTAGGATTAATTTGCATTTTTATTGCACCTGTGAAAGTTCCAGCAAGACCATTATCAGTGAGGAGAATAGTTATTTATTACTGTTGTTGTGTCCCACGTGGACCAAAGGGTTAAAGTCGGGAAATGAGATGTCTCAAATAGATCACGTAATGCTGAGAGTTGTGGTGGACAAATGGTATCAGTTAATTACACTGTTATCATTCTTTGTGTAGTGGAGCAGTTTTAGGCTAATTAGCTTGATCTTGGTTTTATGTCGATGTTTTAAGCACATGCTCCGTTGCTTTTGAACTGTTTCTAACCCGGTGCACACACGCAGAGTCTGAGGAGGCTCTGTAGACCGGATATATTTGTTCTGTAAACTTGTGTTGTACTGGTTTTGATATAAATGGCCTCTCCAACTATGAACAATACAGAACAGTAACCTTCACCCAGTGGACAATAGCAGTCACAACATCAAGTTGTGTTGGCCGGACTTCTGCTCTGCACCTGTTATTACGACTATAACATAATCTTTGGATGTGACGTGAGATTGTCTTTAAAATACATATCATGATAAAACTCTGGAGGGAAAATGATTCTGTCTTAAAGCAACTCTATACCAACTGGACAGAGCTCTGGACAAACTCTGTAAAACTGTCCTGCAATTAAAGGTCCCACGGCCATGTGCTTCTGAATCCAACTTTGTCCGTCCTGATTTTTGACACAACCATCACCATTCATTCACGCACACACCAGACTCTTTCTCAGCAATGTGTGTAAAGTGTCTTGTCTTCCGGATACGAATACAGTTTGGCACAACCCTAGCTGCTCCCGCTGTGGCCCCTGGTGTTCCCAAAGATGGGAGACCTCTCCCATCTTTTCACATGCAGGTGACACTGGTCCTGCTCCTGTTTGGCCGTATGGTTAGGCATTGCTACCCAAAAGTTTGTCTCCCCAAAGTTTATCTCCCACCTGTTTGAGCCTGGTTGACTAAGCGCCCATTGGTTTCTTTTGAAATGTGTGTGGGAAAGAGGGTGCTCCTGTTTAGCATTGGTGACTTATATATTAAATAGAGCTTCATGTTTACTGTACGATATTTAGTTACTTTGACTGGTCATTAATTACTTCATGACCTCAACAATGTAGTTACTAACACAATTACATTTGAAGGGAAGTAATCAGTAACTGTAATTAATTACTGAATACAGATTGGATTGGACAACTACTCAAATGTTCGAGTAAGAGAAATGTTAAAGGATTTCACAAATGTCTTTCAAATGCCGTTCATTCCTCAGTGTCAAGATAGTCTGTTGGAAAAATCTACTTATTCAAATGTTAAGATAAAGTCAAGTTACACCTTCTGTTATGGAAGAAATGTTTTAAGACATAAGGTAAGACTAACCTCTATTCATCCCAAAGCACACAAAATATATACAATTTTCTATCCACGGTTTCTCGTAGTTTGAAGAAAGTTTCTCAAAATCTAGGAATCCTCCATCTGGCCGGGCCAAAAGTCCAAAGATTGCAGTCTAGATATAATATATTTTAGGCTTATATTTGCTGGGTTTTTCCTGAGGGGTCTCTGTGCCTCCTGTTTCCTTCTCTGCATCAGGCTGGATCTCGGAGGTCTGGGACTCGGTTGCCTCCGAGTCCACTCGGACCACTGGTGTACATGGTTGGATGTGTGGCTTTCTTGTTTTTCTCCCTATTGTTGCCTTTGATGACTTGAGGAGAGTCGGCCTAAGAGCGGGAGCTACTGAGGCCGTTTGCACCTGTGTGGCATTGAGCACAGACGGAGGTGCTATGACGGAGACTGTCTCATTGTGGATTTCTGCTTCTCCATCTGCAACACCCACAGCTGGCTTTACCTCAAGTCCTTCCAGATGGTGTCCTACTGTGACTGTGACGATGGCTCTGTAGACGTCAGCATCACGGTCCACATCCTCAGGAGTACCCAGCTCAATCTGAAAGCGCTTTCCTTGTCCTTCTTGATCGTTTATAACTTGGATCTGTCGGATTCGAGGCTCTGAAACAAGGACATTGGTCAGCTCATCCACAGTCATCGAAACTGTTGGCTCTTTCTGGAGCTTCAGTAAACGCTCCTTAGCTTTCTCTTTCTCATATTGCTGTTTCCAAAAGAGCTTTTCTTTCCTTCTCCCACATGTTTTGCGCTTCCGTTAGCTCCTCATACCTGCCGTTCCGCATGGATCCTGCTTTATCCATTTCTCCTTGTTTGTCGGCGGTGTTCGTGTTCGAAGGGACTTGCGGCTGGTCCTGTACCTCCATAATGTTTTGCCACGGTTACAAGCGACTTCCACCATGACCATATAAGGATGGCAGGTGTCAATACTACTCTATGGGAAAAAATCTATCATTGAAAAAAATGTTGAAATATAAAATTATAGTGATAGTGAAAGAATCATACTGTCTTTGTCTTTTGTGAATCTATCAGAAAGCAGCCATATGATTCATGTGTCTTTATAGTCCCTACTCAGGCCAACATCCTACATATGTTTTTAGAATCATTTTTGAAACGTCTACACATCTTTATGAGAAAATATATAGACCATAGTGTTTGGATTAGTTTACAAAATGCATGTGAATAGAATAAACTAAAGTTACATGAAAAGTTGATCTTCACATTAATAACATCAGTTTGTAAAATTACAATATTTTGGGACTGGTTGGTGCACCGTTGCTAACTAATAGGTGTAGTTAATCACTTTGAAAATAATTTTATGTATTACTTACTCGCACTGGTTAAACAAGCAGTTACTCATTAGCAGTTTACTGCTATTTCATATAAGGTAAGTGATCATATGCGACGTGATCCCCAGCCTTTTAGCTGCTGGGAAAATGAAACATTGGGACGTGAGTTTCTTCAGACCAAGGTTCAGCGCCTTGAACTGAAGCCCGGTCTGAAGCAAAGCAGGAGTGGATCAACGTGCATCTAAAAAGTGTCATGTTGTTGAACACACACTGTTTCCTACAGGGGAAGGGTCCATCATTAGCACCAAAACACTGATTTTTAAATAATGCATACATGATTTTATACAGCAAGACATTTCATCATTATTCATTCACTCCATACACGGTGGTGATAAGGGCAACTGTATCGTAGCCACAGCTGCCCCCGGGGTACACTGACAGAGGTGAAGCAACCAGTATGTGCCAACCTCCCCTCCAACCACCACCAACCACTCACACAATAACAGAAAAATATTTTAATTGAAAGAACATTAGATACCAGTTTTACACTCATGTGCAACTTTCAGGGATTATTTTTACAGCAGCTGACCCACACAAAGACTATGAAAGGGAGAGAAAAAGAGTATGAATGAGTGAGAACTTGAGTGATTTTACAGTATACACACATTGAACAGTCATGTGAGGCCTGGCGCAGGAGACAATGGGTGTTTGTCATGCAAATCCTCCGTGTTCATCCTGTCAAAAATAAACCAGTCCACAGAGGATCCCAGGACAGTTTCTATTTCAGGGCTAATGTTTTCAATATCAATGGAGTCAGTGATGTAACGAGTTCAACTTATTGTATCACTGTTTAGCTGTTTGTCTGTGGCGACACGGTGGATAGCACTCTCGCTTCTCAGCAAGAAGGTCCTGGGTTCGAATCCCTGCTCAGAAAAGGGCCATTCTGAGTGGAGTTTGAATGTTCTCCGCGGTTTCCTACCGGTGCTCCTGTTTCCCCTACCATTAAAAACATCTACAATAGGTCTGGCAAGAATTTAAATTTACAGATGAGATGGCAGGTATAGGCTCAGCAGTTCTCATTTGATAATGCTGTTTCAACCACAGTTGAACCTGATGAAATCTCACACAACAAAGAGACAAAGTTAATCTTTTACTTGTTACATTGTACAAGGAGAATGTCTTGACAGAGGCAAGGCACAGACCCCAGCCTCTCTCAGGACAAGTCTGAAGATTCACAGTCTGCAAGCCCCCCTCGGTAGAGCAAGACACACCCCCGTATGCAGATGGGAAAGGAAGAAACCAACACAACAAAAGACACTTAGCATATGAGCTCCCCAGACCTCCCGGTGTCCTACTGAAGCTAAAGTGAATTACAATACAGAGAATTCAGCACATAGCCACATATGATTTACCAAAATGATAACTTAAGTTACATTCCAATATCATCATTGTACAGTCTGACAGCAGCTGGAAGCAAAAGGTGGATTAGTCTGTCACTGAGGCTTCTCTCAAGAGAATACAAAAAAACGGAAACAGAATATGAGTGAATGTGGTTTGGGTTGGACGAAGCAGATACTTAACTGGCTCCAACTCTCCACTCCCTCTCTCCACATACTAGTTCAATGTTTTAAATTGAATAAAGTCCAGGATATTGTTTTTAAATCACCTCTTTTTTTGTCTCCTCAGATGAGTGGCATGTGCAGTCAGGGCCCCAAGAGGAGCACTCGTTCAGTGGGACTCCCCTCTCTCCCCCACCCGGCCTCAGTGTCCCGCCCGGCTCACCCTCCGTCCCTCGCACCGGAACACGACCCCAGCGCCGGCGACCCGGACGAGACGCTGACCGGGCTGCGCAGGTGAGGCAACCCAGCGCACCCACACAACAGCTGAGCAGACAGGCCTCACATGAGTTCCATTCCAGACAAAATCTTCATTTGCTTCATTTTTTCCTGGTCGTATTTCAGAGGTGTTAGATTATTTAAAACATCCGCCAACTCTGGAGTTATGTTGCTGACAGAAAGATCACTAACTTATTCATAATAATATGTTCACATGTGGTCTCAGCTAAGCCTGTGGGGTCTTTGATGTGTTTGGTGTGACATTCTGCTGAGGAATAGGGTTTAAAGTCCATACAGTGGGCTCAGTGGGGGCGGGTCCCGGCTCAAAAAAGTCCACAAGCACTTCTGACATACTTGCAATACCACCCTGGGCCTGTGGGGGTGGACCCAGAAAGAGAATTGTTCAATGCTTTTGTATGGCGTCCTCTCGAAAACGTCTTTACAGGATGGTCCAAAAGTGGCTCTTGGTCCAAAGCAATGTTCCACACGTGTCAATGCTGAGGAGAGTGTATTTTTTGGACTAGTCTAGTTTAGCCGCTGTGGACTCCAGAATGCACTCGTTAAATGAATGGTGCTGGTGCCGGCTAACGCAGGCGCAAATGCATTTTTTCACATTTTCCTGCGGGAGGGTCTGCCCGTGGCCATTTTGAAAAAGCCCCATAGAAGGGAAAAGTTGTGGCACATTAGTTTCAACGGCGGAGATATGATGGGCTTCAATACGCTCATTTAATCTTTATTGGGCAAGAAAGAAGAGTAGGGGAAAGGGTTTTATTGGGTTACGTCTACAAGATATCAACTTGAAAAGCACTCTTAGAGCACAAACCTCTGCCAAGTGGCTCCAGTGTCATTTGCAAAAGAAATTCCTGGATCCATGCAGCGATCATCTCCAAAATCTAATCATTTGTATTTTTGTCCCACTTCCAAGGTTTTAGGAAAATCCAGCCATAACTTTTTGAGTTATCTTTCAGACATAACCCAATAAAACCTCTCCCCCCCCTCTCTTCTTTCCTTCCCTCTGATAAATGTGTCTGTATCTTTCACACTGTGATGTTATTTTAGATTAAGTCTTGTCCCTCTGATTCACAGAGAGTTCATATCCAGCCTGAGGGGCTTCATCCCCTTCTACAGCGGTCTGGGAGAGGCTCTGTGCAGCCGAGAGCCGCCTACTGCCAACAGCTCCCTCTGCTGGAACGGACACGAAATGACAGACAGGTATCTTTCAACTTTTTATCTTGACGTCAAACTGTATCACATTCTGAAACATATTGATTACAAAGTTGAAGTCCCCTATTCCGGTCGGCTGCCCTGTTCTCTACTCTGAAAATGACTGACAGAAGAGGCTGCACAGTTGATATGAGAGGAGCTAATATATTTGACGTTTTTCGACCTTGTTAAAGTGACAATGTCCTGAATGAAGAGATCTGTGGTGAACCCAGAAGAGATGATGCGGTGGAGAGGAGAATGAGTTAGGGATGGTTTATATGTTTGCTTAAAAACTGATGACTTCAGATTAAAAACAGTCATAATTAAACTGTGAGCGGAGGAATGGAGGACAACGATTGCCGTGGAGAAGCAGCAGTGTGGGCAGGTACATATGAAGCCCAATTGTCCTCTGGGCTGCTGTGGCTGTAATGTTTCTCTTTAACTCAAACAGTTATAGTTTACACACACAGAAATGTTTTTGCCTGTTTTAGAAATGATGAATCCCAACTAATTTTTTCCTTCATTGTTAGTGGTTGTGTGAAGCTGTTTTTTCTCAATCCAATTCACCTTATTTATAAAACAGTGTTCATAAGCAACCGATTTCAACCTCCTTCACAACTACCACAAATACTAAAATAGAGGTACTCTTGGGTGCAGTAGTAAAAGAAACTGTAGTGACAGAGGTGTCCAAACCGGTTCAGAAAGGGCCACTGTGGCTGCAGGTTTTCTATCAGACCCAGCAGGAGCAGCGCAGACTCAGCCCATTTTCTCAAGTGAGTTCAGTCTTAACCTGAAGATTTGATGAAATGGGTGGAGTCTGCTCTTCTCCTGCTGGGTCTGATTGAAAACCTGCAGCCACAGTGGCCCTTTCTGGACCGGTTTGGACACTTCTGTTGTAGTGTATAACTGCACAAACCTGTGTAAAATGCACCATATTACTGTATGACCGTACATCAGTGAACATAATGAAAACATGTATAGTTAAATTAGATATGCAATGAATTCAAATGTAACAATTTAGGATCATAAATCCCGAGTTCTTTGGGGAGCTACTTGGAAGGGTTTGGACCACTGCTCCATGCCATGTATAGTTGAAGGGGCAACTCATACTATTGAGAACTGGGGGATTATTTGATCTTCACACAAACACTATCAATGAGTGAATGGCCACTGTACTTGATGTAATATCTGTAATTGTCTCCTCAGTGGTGCCACAGATTGGCTTGTGTAGGTGAGTTGAAGGTTGATGAGTCACATCATGAGACCACAGTAAATCTTGAAGCTGTACAGGACGTTATTAATGCCCAATCTACTGCCTTCTTTTAATTCGTGTTTCATTCTTTCTCTCCTCTTTCATCTCCTCAAAAGCTCATTTGGACTGTGCTATATTTCAAATCGACCTCCACACATCCTATCCCCCTTCCATGCAATTTATATTTGTAATTTAAGACCTGGTTTTAATCAACGCAGCGATACAAATTTCTCGGGAGGCAAGGTTAATGCTTTATTTGAAGATTGGCCGTGTATTGAGTTGGATAGTCCTGTAATGGTGATGTAAAAAGCAGGAGACAGGAGGTTTAGAGGAGAGGGCAGAGTTGTCCTGAGGCTGTGATTACACGTGTGACCACAGAGGGCAGCGGTGAGGGCCGGGGGAGTTTGGATCTGCAGATTAAAATGTCCAGAAGCGGCTGATCTCTGTCACCTCTGAGGGAAGAACTGGCCCTGGGTTGCGTCTCACCTACACACAGTTTTTAGAGACTATTTTAAAATGTCTGAGATCCAAGGAGAAATATAGCGTGTCGTTTTGGGCTGTTTGGGTTACAGAGAACACAGGGGAAATCATGCACCACCAAGTTATACAATATGCAACAATTAAAGAAACATTACACTGGAGAACATACTTTTATAAACAATCTGTAAATGTCAATGTGTGAATCGTGGAATGTGAGGTTAAATTGTGCGATGATCCAATTTTTCTTTCTCATGACATTGAACTTGTTTTGGCCAGTTTTGGAGAGTATGAATGACAACTATTTTTCAAACAATTGTTCATTCATTGCTATTGGTGGTGTGAGGCCATTTTTCAATCCAATCCACTAAAACACATAAAACACAGTTCATAAGCAACTACTTTCCAAAAAAATGTCTTTCTCATGACATTGCACTCACGGTTTGACGGCTCAATTCCAGATTTCAATGTTTTAAGCAGAGACATATTCTCTTCATATAAATACGAATTTGATGCAGATTTGAACAAAACAAGTAAATCATCTACCCATGAAAAACCAAGGAAAAAGTATTTTCTGTGTTTGGGCTCAAATCTTAGTTCTTGTCTAAGACAGCTACAACATGTCTTTCTTTGGACTCCTGATCAGGAGGTCGGCTTAACTCAATCCAACCCATTTCCCTAGATCAGTGTCTCCCAAAGTGGGGTCCGCGGCCCCCTGGTGGGCCGCGAGGGTACTGCAGGGGGGCCGCGGGAGGTCATAAAAAAATAAAAAAATAATATAATTATTTAATGTTAAATTTATACTGTTTTGTTTGTAATATTAAAATATTTGTGCTCATTATTTGACTTCAATAATCCACTGTAATCATTTTTGTATTACAATGTTTGTAGCAAAGGCTATTTCCCCAAAATAAAATAACCAGAAGAGCCTATTCTTAATGTTGTCTTCTTGGTTATTATTTTGGGGGGCCACGCAGACCCGTCAGATTTTTAAGGGGGCCTCGGTGTTACCGAGTTTGGGAATGGCTGCCCTAGATCAATGGATTCATTTGATTGTTCTTTTGAAAATTGAGAATGTTGAAAAATATCAAAATTGTCACATTGAGGTCAGGATGATGTGTACGTTTGGACTAAGATCAAGAGAACATCAGAATCAGAATCATTTTTATTGCCACGTAAGTGACAGGAAGTCACAGACTTGGAAATTGCTTGTTCATGTTCTTAATTACAGTCATTTTAACCCATTTAGATATTCTAGTTTCTGGCAGTTTTCATTGTTGTCTTTGGGAGTGAACACTTCATTCACTTCCAAATCTGTCTTGTGGCTGTGAAAATTAGAATATTCAGAATAATCACTGCGTTTACACACGCAGCCCTCGCTGTTAGGATTTACATAACAGTGAGGGGTCCGTGCATGTAACAACCCCAGACAGCAGGGGGCTGTGGAGTAAACGCCAAAGACTGTGACAGCACAGAGACTTTCCACTTGACCTCTCCTTTATATATCTAATTATTTACTTGTAAAGGTATTATTATCATTATTAGTCTGCCTGATGGCTCATGTGATCTTTTTAACTTCTTTGAGAAATTGTAATCATAATCTGAAAACCTGCCAACACAGCATGAGAAGAGACAGTGAAAAAGTATTTCAAAAACTAAACTTCACCAAAGATGGATCAAAACAGTCGGATGTTCAAGTGTTTATGGACTAATATGAATACAACACATTTCACACAAAGTCAATGTCACGTTAAAGATGAAAACAGAATGGATTTACAGATTTTCTCAGAAACTATACTCAAACAAAGCTAAGCTAAGATGCTATCATTAGCATTTCTCGACTAGTGGTGAGTTGGTGTTTTTGTTTAATATTTTGTGTAACAGTGGGAGATGACTGTGAATCCCATGGGTTTTATGAAGATTTTTTATGCCTTTTATATCTTTTTTTTTCTTTCTTAACTTGTATACGCACCAATTCCCAGTTTGTCACTTCCTGTTTCCCATGGCAATAATAAATATATAATTCTGATTCTGATTACAGGAGCTCTTGAAAGTCAGTTTAATCGGACGAGGAGAGTAAGTTGTCTCCATGCTAATGCACAGTGTGGTACATAACAATATTAATTGAACTGAATCACTATAAAAACAACTAGGAGTGGGTAAATGAAAAGTATGATTTTTTGTATAGCGCATTTCACAGTCACTCCACACACAGTGATGTCAGAAGCGAGACGCACAAACAAACGGGCGCAATCGAAGCCACTGAACACCACTATCCATTTTCTCACTAATTACATTCACTCCTATTGCTCATGTTTTTAGGGGTAGGGGAAACCGGAGCACACGGAGGAAACCTACACAGACACGGAGAGTACATTCAAACAGTACACCGACAGGCCTGGGGGTGGATTCGAACCCATGGGACCTTCTTACCACTGCGGCACCGTATCGCACAGAAGGACAACTATAATATACTGGTTTAAAACTATTTGAAATCTCTTTAGCAAAATGTTCCTTAGGATTTTTTCCATGAATCCTTGCCCAATACAGCCTCATTCAGAGTTTCAAGAATCTCAGCTAATCCCGTGTCTGTCACTCTGCATTGTTCCGGTGAATTCGAACCACGTTTTCAGCCCAAATACAAATTAATGAGAAAATCATTTTTTGCACAGTAGGACCCAGACAACTCAATAGTTATTTTGAATCTCTATTGAGCTCGGTTGTTTACCTCCAGCACCTGAAGCCACGATCTGAAAACCCATTCACTTCAAAGGCGGTAATAACTTGAAGCGTGTCAGCCACAAACGCCTCTCCACGGCGCTCATTTCACCGTAATGACGGAGTAAATACGCTGGAGAACGGCGAGGCTGATAAGGAACTGCAGGTTTAAGCGTTTGTAATACATCTCTTTGTGATAGCATCTTAATTTGATCCTTTTTGCTGAACACGACAAGCTGCCGGAGGACATTGCGCCAATCGGAGTCTAAAGCTTAAGAAAACAGAGGCGCAGTGTAGGGTTCAAAGCCTGTGGGGAAACTGCAAAACTTGGTTGCGTTTTTTTTGTTGAGTTTTGCAGACTGCAGAATGTGTGTGTGTGTGAAATGTGAATTTAAAGGTGAAGTGTGAAACTTTGGGATAATTGACTTTTCTTGAGAAGTTTGTATATGTTGTGAAATTGCTTCATTTATATTGCAGACACATGTTTCTATCTACTATGGGAATTAGATTGCCGTACAAGTGATCTGGCAACAACGACCGAATTGTGTATCTGCTACGATTGTGTATCCGTGTAATGTTCTTTCCATGTCTCTAGATATGACACGTATGTCTTTCGATGTGTGACGTATAACATTGACTGAAAAAACCTGAAATAACGGAGAAAAACTTAGAATAAACTTCCAGGTGGTTGTGGTGCGTAAAGATCCCGTCTCTGTGAGGTTACTTTTCCACACAATCCTTTTCATCGAGTTAAACCAGAGACTTCATGGTAAAATAAAAGTTGTATGTACTGTAGAGACAGGATTCAGGGTTCAGGATT